ACGTTGCATGGTACGCACATTTCTATTTTTACACCAGCCGGATGAAGTGACCTAGGGTTGGACTTAGGGGCAAAACTTGAACCAATCAACGCTTAGCTAAAAGGTTACACTATAAATAGCTTCTATATATGTATGGAACATCGTAAATGTCAAGGTTAATGGGTTATTTTGTGCTTGAACAATAAAAAAGGGGTGTTCGCTAACTTTTTTGACCTTACATGGGATCGGACAGCAACACAAAAATATTATTAAATAAGAATTTAGAGCATAAAAGGGGCTGGTTATTGAAGGGAAAGGGTCAAAATAAGGTCAAGAAGGCAGTGGAATGCGAAAGAGGAGGGGGAATCATGTGACCTGGCTGGCTTAGCAGCGTACTGCGCGAGCCGCAATGGCTGAATGGGATGAACTTTGGGAGTGTGGGAAAAAGGTTTTATACTATTAAAATTACCTCACAAACAATCAATAACACAATATAAATGCATATAATATATGTTTTTATTCATTAAATTGACTTTAAATTATTCTAAATGAACAAAAAGTGCTTTGTCCGATGACGGGTAAAGGTGTCTGAACACATATAAAATTGTATTACATGTGTCCGAACACATGTTAAGACCCCCCAGTCACTATAACAAGAATAGCTAAAGTTCTATGCGTATGAATACAAAATGACACACACACATTATTAAAGTAGAATGATTGCGGATAGATATGATACTTTTTTTTCCTTCCTATGTTAAGCGGTTACTGAATGAGACCGCATGGAAGTTTTAAGTTGCGTTTTTTCGCGGTGTGTGTCCGGACAGTGTAATTTGCTCTAGAGTGGCCGTCCGATCTGCGCTCGTGAGCGGAACTCCCAATTTCCATTAGGCGCTATTTAATGACCGTTTCACATACAAACAAACCGAAAGTATCCTGTAACTCTACATCCATTCTACTATATTAGGTATGAGTCATATTGTATTCCTACGCATAGCATTGGAGATAATTCAAATTATGGAGGTGAACCACCTCGGCAATCACTTTTTTTTTCATCCTTCTTGCAGTCACTTGCGCTTACTTGACCCAGATCGACCCAGATTGTGCTCAGGACTTATTTTATTCATTTAGACTATTTAGTCTGTTAAAAGTTAATTAAACAAATAAAATAACCATTATATGCTGCATATTTTATGTGTATACTGTGTTATAAGTATGTTTAAATATTTCAATGATCCTTATTCAGCCTACCTATTATGCCGAGCAAGTCACGTGACCCACTTATCCTACCTCGAAGCTTGCCTGGTCACATGACTCCCGCTGAGCCTGTCAGGTCCAAAGAACCTTATGGCAAGCTAGGTCATGCTTTTCCCCATCCTTCCAGTGATCTAATTAACGTTTTAAACCAAATTCCTATTTAATAAGCAATATTCTGAGTTGTGAGCGCAATCGGGTAAGAAAACCAATAGGGACCAAAAATCATGTAATCACCCCTTTTTTCTAATTTTAGAAGAGAAAACCCCATCAACCTTGACATGTACAGTAAGCTGTATGTATCTAGAAGCTATTTTTAGCGTTACATTTTATCTAACTGTTGATTGGTTCAAGTTTTGAAGCTAATCCCGAACTCTGTCGGTACATCCGGGAGAGTGTGAAAGGAGAAAATGTGTACCATGCAATTTTTAAAAAATTATAATCAATTTTCAGAAAAACGAAATAGCATGAACTATACATAGAAGTGTTCAGAAATGAAAATATGACGTGCCAAACACTGCGGTTTTGCATAAAACATTAAAATAAAGTAGCTATAGCCGAAAACGTGACTTTACGGGAGTGCGATCGCAGCGTTGTGCATGGTGCAGATCGGACGGCCACTCTATATTAGAGAGGCTCACTAACTCGAAAGCGTCCTTGGTTGCTAACCAGAACATGGCTACCACACCTTGGCCTACGATTGGGCAATTTTTTCAGCTTTGTTCGAGAGACCACCTTAACATTAACATTAAAAATAATTATCACGCGAAAAATGGCGTTTTTTTTTGCGTATTTTAAGCTATCTGAAGATGACAAAGCTATTTTTGCCAGAAAAAAAAATTAAAATTTGCTTCCGACAATGTAGGTCAAACGTAAACATGGGTATAGTTTGAGTTGTTTAAAAACTTTAAATAATGGTCTGTTAGGTGTCCAAATGGCACTGTACGGTAGGTTATTATTAGACTGATCGTTTAGTGAAAAAATATTGTAATTATTTTATAACCATTTTAAGAAATCGGCGCCCAAAAAAGGTCACTGAAAGCACGTAATTTTTAATTGTGACGTCATCGCTATTGTGATGGATGCTGTACGGAAGTATGCGCAATAGACGCTAAAAGGGTTGTATATTATTTCAAATGGGCTCACAATTTGGCCTTGATTTCCTGCGTAATTAGGCTAATTGAGAATCATTAGTGATCTTTTACCTGGCCATGTGATGATAGGTATCTTACAAGGCTATAAAAGCCCGCGAAACACATCGATCTACCCTTCAGATTGGTATTGGTGAGAGTATTTGATGCATACTTATTATAGCAAGGATAACTAACTTGAAAGCGTCTCTGGTTGCTAACAACACAGTAGCGTAGCGAGGGGGGGGGGGGGGTGGCGGGGGGGGGGGGGGACACATGTCCCCGGGCGCCGAGCTTAGGGGGCGCCAAAATGGGTTGGAAAAATAAATTGAAAGGTTGAGGGGGGCGCAAATCAAAATCTCGAGGGGGGGGGGGGGGGGTGCAAATCGAAAGTTTGAGGGGGGGGTGCAAATCAAAATCTCGAGGGGGGGTGCTAATCGAAAAGTTTGTCCCCGGGCGCCGGGAAGGGTCGCTACGCCTCTGTAACAACAACATGGCGTCCTAAACCGGACGCTTAGTTTCGGACATTTTTCTTGTCTGCCCAAGTGACTTTATAGGAATTCGTTTTTAAAATGTTTACCTCGTGAAAAATTGCGGTTTTTTCACATAATGTAAACAAACTATAGTTGGCAGTGCTAAATATGCCAGAGAAACGCTATAAATTGCTTTGGATAATGAAGACCGAAGCTCAAAAAGTGGTGCCGACAAACATTCATAGATCTTTTTAAATATTAGCAACTACGATGTAGATCGGAAACCGAAAGTACATCAATATTAGATTTAACAGTCTGTGTAAAAATAAATCGAATATTACATGCGCTAATTTTTTTAAAAATTCTCCAAAACGGTCACCACCAGAAGTAAAAATTCCATAACCCACGTGACCGCTATTGGGCGGCAGACGTTCGCCTAGGTGGCTCTATCGACTCTTTACTACGTTTGTGTTGATGAGCGTTAAGTGAATATTTTCCAATTTTGATTTTTACATTGCTGGACAAATTAATTAAGTATTTCGATCTGAACACGGGAAGATAGGAATTAGTTGGTATTTCTGTAAAAGCCCGTAAACCTGTGATCTCGTGGTGAAACGCGATCTCGAAAAAGTCTAGGTGCTAAATTATTTAGCCTACTTGATTTTATTATTACTAATTACTACTAGATCGAATTATAGTTAATATTATTTTCATTTGCTTTCATTTTTATATAATTGATTATTATGATTTAGATCCAGAAGGGCTAGGCTAATAAATTATAATAATCATATTAGAGGACAGCCTGCATAAACAAAAGTTTGCATTCTTAGATCTAGATCTAGTTGACACAGTACAGGGACTTGCGCACACGCTCGCGTGACGAAAGAACGCAAGCGGGCTCGTGACGAATTTGCATAATTTTTCACTCACAAGTGATCAACGTTAATGTGATAGGCGTAGCCTAACAATCTTTAAATAGATCTATCTAGATCTACACACCAGCTCTAGATACAAATTTAAGTATTAAAACTCCACCTGGATCTAGCTTCGGACGGGCGATGTTTCTCTCGTTGACAAAACAACGCGAGCGAGCCGTCACTACGCACAGCCTATGAGTGGCGATGTTTGGAATGCATTTCTCGCTCACATGTGATGAAATTTAATGCAACGACAGTTTTAAAAATAAAAACAGATATTTTATTATGCCTATATACTTTTTTTTAATATTTAAAACTCAGCCTAGACAAAGCTTCCATGCTGGATAAGGGAGGAGGGTTAGATTCCGCCGTTAACTCAATCTATGTATTATTATGCATAATTGTCCTAATTAAACATTCCTATTTACACTGATTAATCAAGACTGAATAAAACGTGAAAATGAATACCTTTAAAAAGTTTAGATCTATATATTTTTAAACATTTATACGTGATTATTTTTGGTTCATTCATTTGGCGTTTGCTAAAAATATAGTAAATAGATTACATAACCAAGTTACGAGTATCCTTTCGATTTCGTTTTATTGCAGCATACCTCCACTTCCCCCTCCCCACACATGATCCTTACGAACCTCCTAGGTAGTTTTCAGGTCAACTTTAGGAATCAGATCTCAGACTGGTTGTCATGGAAAAATCTTTCACAGCTAAGCTGTATGGCACCAATAATTAAAATCATGTATTTTAGTTCATAATGAGCTAAAATCATCAAATGTAGTGCCTAGTTAGTTAGAAAAATATCTCTAGCTTTTATTGGTATTGGTTAAAAAAATAAAAAATTAAAATTAAGATTTAGTGAGCCTCGCTACTCTATATTATTTCAGATATTTCAGAAGCATAACAAAAAGAAAATACATAGATCTAGTCAAAATTTAAAGCCGTTAATTGTTTAACATTTTTAAAATGAATAATTCGTAAGTTGAATAGAAACTAATCTAGATTTAAGATCATGCTGTCTAATGTGTCTATTGAGTAGATCATTGCATCGAGGGATACTTGATTAAAACTATTTATGATTGCTTAAATAAATGGTGTTGAAGTAGAACAAAGGCCATTACTTTAATTCACTTATTAGCAATTAAGAAGTATTTCCTTTTCATATTTTAGTTACATTGCTACCTCGGATTAAATGGATTATAATACTATACTATAAGGAGCACTAAACACCCACCTCATCTTGGAAGAGTTGTAGAGAAAGGAAGAGGAAGCAGTTGTACACAGGAAATACACCCATATACCAGGTTTTTAAAAAGAATAGTATGCCAAACTAAAAATGTTAAGTTCTAAAACAATAAACATCATAAAACAAAATAAATATATTCGAGAGAGGACAATCTAAAGTAGAAAGGAGTAAATTTTGCAGAGCTGGAGAAAAAAGGTGAAACTAAATTAGATATATATTTGACAATAAGAAAGTCACGATTATCAAAAAGCTACTACCAATTGTATGTAGAATCTTAACAAATTATACTAAATAGCTGGGCATGTCTAGGCTTACCTTTTGTTAGAACAGAAGTTAAAAATGGTTTTATTTAATTAAGGTTACATCTATATAACTGAAAATGGTTTTAACAAGGACTAAATGATTGTTTTAAGGTTATTTTTAACCACAGATAATTGGGATAAAGCACATACTGCACAACACTAAAATAGGATATTTACCCTCACCCTCTTCCTCCTTTGTAGTATACATTGATATAATGCGCATGATCATTTGTTATATTTTATTTATCCGTTTTGAAAAAAAATATTTAAAAAGTGCAGATACAATTTTTGATTGCGAAATTATCACAATTAAAATTATAAATATAACAAAAATGCACGTTTCTTTTAAATTTGTAAAGCCAATTTAGATGTGCTTTCAGAATTATTTTTTTTTTTAAGAAAACTCTGAAAGTATTATTAAAATTTGTTATGCGAATTTTGATGTGCTCTTAAGGTCATAATAATACAAAACCAATGTGTGTTTCTCCTGGTCTTGAACCATGTCAATCGTAACATACCGACTTTAAACGGTCTACAATTCTTAGCGTTAAACTCCTCTTTCGATCGTTATAAGTGGGCTGAATAGCTAAGGCGATCGATGGGTTTACAGAGTTAAATTAAATGGACATATGACCAATGGACATCAACGAGCTGATGAGAATCATTCCATTATTACTGTTGACATGGACAAAAATCGTGGGGGGGGGGGTTCTTTTTTTTTTCAAATTTATGCCATGAACGCGGCACTAAAACCATTTTTAAAATATTAAAAATAAATTAAAAAACAGGCATGAAAAATTTAATATTTTAGAATCAATTTTATAAAAGTTGCAAATCCAGAAAACTTGAGAATCATTTCTTGAGTTTAAGGCTACATTTCTATTTATTTTCATCAATCCTAGAATAAGTTATAACCTGACGTTTCACTTTCGTAAGACAACATTGATTGGCTCTATATGAACTCCGTGATCTATATTCTGAAAAGACCACTTCATAGTTATTAATTTGCTCTCAAAATTTTGCCGATAAAGTGTTTAAATATTTTTTTTTTCTAAATTTCAAATCAAATTTTATTTACATTTTCTGTGACTAAATGTAAACAATCAAATTGTTTTTTTTTGTTGTTTTTTTTTTTTGCCTTTTAAAAAAAAACAAATTGTTTAGATCCCGGAAATACTTAAAACATCAAATAGGTCCTACATTCAATAACCTAATCTTTAGTTAAGTTCAACAAAAATCAATCAGGCTTTTATAATCATATTTATCTTAATAAGATCGTACATGATTATTTTTTTTTATATTCAAAGGGTTTTTCAAATAATTTCGGATTGCGTCTGTTTTGTTAAGACTAAGATGAGTACAAGTTTTTCTCATTCTGGTATATCATCTCTGAAACGGGTACCTTTTGCTTTAGACCCAATCCATAATTGTTTCGATAAACAATTTGCTTGAATATCAAATACCGTTTTCTCGTCCATTTGTATATTAGCAGCACACTGCGTGTAAGAATTAACCACAAACAAAATGGAGATGTAGCACTAGAGAACAAAAACGTTGCCGAAGTAGATAGTTTCATATCTTGGGAGTGTTGCCAGTATGTCGAGAGGATTAGACAAAGACTTCAAACGCCGAATAACTTGACTTAATGGGGATTTGCCCATTTTAGGTAAGACCTGAAAGTGAAATCGTCAGACTTCTCAAACCAAAGTAAGAATAATTAGCTCTAGTGTGAATTCATCATGCTCTACAGATCCGAGACACGAGGAACAACAGAGACAAAAAAAAAAATCCAGACCTTTAAAAAAACAAATACAAGAGTTTGGAATATGTTAAAAATACAGTGGCAGGACAATACAGAAAATGCCAAACTATGGGATCTGTGTGGACAGAAAACAACAGAACGACAACTCTTGGAAAGAAAATCTTCATGGATTGGTCACACAATTAGGAAATATACTGATAACAGAGCTCACAATACAAACGATGCAGAGATCGACTAAAAAAAGCAACGTGGTGTGTAATTAAACAGAGAAAAGCTGAAAAGATGGCAGGAGGCCGTGGAGAGTGGAACACTTTTAACTGAGGCCCTTTGTTCCTAAGGGAAACAAAAGAAATAATGGTGATGAGCACGCAGTTTATCTTTTTCGGAAGACCCAATTGAATGACGTGGCGAGTTGAGCGGTTGATAGATTTATTCAATCTGCCACTTTAACCCCAGTATTACTTTTGGGCAATGCCCGCTCCCTCAGTAGAAAGTCCACCCCCCCCCCTTAATACAGGGCGAACTTTTTTTAAAATGAACAGTTTATATTAAAAATATACACTTTCCCCCCATTCAAATGCTGCTTTTTTGTTTGTTCCAATTCATATTATAACAGTCAATGACTGCTGCTTTTTATCACAACGTTTTAGACGAAGAACAACTCTTTTCAAAAGTACTTATTATTTAACTTTTTCGCCATAAAAAATCTGTCATGCCAAACAGTTTATACTTGGTGGCAGATTTACAAGTCTCTGCACGCTATGGAAGGGCTCGCAGTCCACCCTTACCATAGCATTATTAATTTTTAAAATTATAATGAAATGTTCTATAGTATAGATTTCGAAATTTAAATTGGATTTAATCTTTATAGAACTATTTAAAATATAACGACAGCTAACACACACACACACACACACACACACACACATATATATATATATATATATATATATATATATATATATATATATATATATATATATATATATATATATATATATATATATATATATATATATATATATATATAATTATATACGGTGCTCAATTTATGGGTATTTCAGAAAAATGAAGGTCACTTAAACATTTAAAAATAATTACTCCATCTAAAATTTTATATGAAATTTCGTCTTCGCACGAAAATAGTTTACCAGATGTCATTAAACAGTTGAGAGAAAACTGCGCATACAATCAGAGGCGTAGCGAGGGGGGTACACATGTCCCAGGGCGCCGACCATAGGGGGCACCAAAATGGGTTGAAAAAAATTAAAGGCTTATTTTAGCTGCAGTTTTGCATTATAAATATAAAAAAAAATAGAAGGGGGGGGGGGGGCAAATTGAAAGTTTGTTCCCGGGCGCCGGGAATGGTCGCACGGCCTTTGCATACAATGAAATAGTTATTGGTAAAATTTCGCCCACCTCAAATGGTACTCTAGTTTAGGTTTTTGAGTAACAGGAAGTACCACTCCCGGTTACCGGAAATCAACAGGAAGTTGAGAGAAAACTACACTATTGATATTAAACTTATATATGACATTTCGTCAAACTTACTGAAACGCTACTCAAGTTATCATGTTTACATAAACATGGACATTATAGCAAAACTATTTTTTTTTCAAATCTAGATTTATTAGATTTTTGCACGATTACAATGCATCCTTTATATTCCGTATACGATAAAGTGGGGAGTTAAGGGCGGTGAAAATTGTTCAGAAATGTTAATTATTCAGCATGATTGCAAAACGTTCTCTATAATCTAGATCTATATGCGAGAAAGCATTTCAGATCACAAAATTTCTTGAAGGCTTATCTAAAGACGGGTTTCTTCCTTGTAAAATAGTGATCTGGTCCATCTCAGTGATGTTAAAAATAAATATTCTAATATAACACTACGTGGGATGGCAACTCGGAATATAGACATGATTTTTGTTTACTTAAACTTTTAGAAATAGAATAAAATCTAGTAGAAAAAAGAATTGCAATATTATTAGTACTTTATAAATTTACATGCGTTTTTTGAGAAATCGGAAATAGCGTAAATTAGTACTTCCGGTCAACGGAAATTACTCAAAATTTGACAGAAGGTAGAGAATTAGATCTTTTACTTACATGTGAAATTTCATTTATCTATCTGAAATAGTACTCAAGTTATAGGCTTTTGAAAAATTCAAAGTAGAAAAAGTACCACTTCCGGTTATCGGAAATCGCTCAAAAGTTGATACGGATCTACGATTTTGATAAAATACTTATATATGAAATGTCATCAACCTAGCTGTAACGGTACTCAAGTTATCGTGTTTACACACACACACACAGACATACGCCATACGGACAAGATTGCAAAATTATGTTTTTCCGTATCAGTGAGGTGTAAAACGTCGAGATTTGTAAAAATCTTGTTTTTTTTTTTTTTTTGCACGATTACAATACTTTCTCTATACTACGTATATACGAGAAAGAAAAAAAAGGACTTCCATGCAATTGTAAAGTTTTAAAGCTGACCATCTTATTTAGGTCTACAAAACACCATTTTAAATTAAACGTGTAATATAGATCTAGATCTAGACTTTAGGAATATTTGCAACTTTTTTAAAGCGAAGTTTGTATTTTCAATTTTACTTCCTTAAAAAATTATTAATTTTTAAAAATTGCGACTTATTTTGCACACAATTTTCCAACCAGGCAAACGGATATAACTTGTGATTTATGCAAGCTCTCAGTCTATTCGAGATAAAACGATAGTTTGTTAGCCAGCCATTCCAAGTCAACAGTGCGAAGAAAACAAACGAAAATTGCAAGAAACTCAAAAACTAATGATCGTGTCGGTTAGTAACTTAAACGGTTCACTAACATAATATGGATATAAACCAGCTCAGATTTAAAAAAATACATTTTCTACACTTTTATAACCAAAAATTTAGAAACAATAAAAAATAAATGTAGGCAAAATAAAATTGAATCAAAGGGCCAAGTCAGTGCAAAATAAAATGTATTAATGTAAAAATGTTACGTTGGTTAACCACCTCTCAACAACAATAATATAATAATAATATTAATGAAAGTACTGATTAATCATTAATCTAGAATCTATACTCTAGGTGTCTTTGTTGCAACTTATAATTATAACTGTAAAAACTGTAACACAATCTAGAAGATTTTTAAAATAGGCCTAATGAAAACAAATTTTGCTTGTGGTCATGTGTGGTGACAATCAAATGCCAAATTTTGTTTTTATTTTTGATAGGCCTAAGTAGAATGAATAGGGAACAGGGTTAATGACCATATTCTGGGTTTTTGTGCTAGATCTGACTTGGGTCAATGAAATTCTGATAACACCTGTCGTAGAGGGAGCAGTTTTCTGGATGATTCCATTGCATAACATCATATAATTATACTCTGAACTAAGAACTGCTTTCATATCTTTGCAAATTTTCATTTAAAGTTGGATATCAGCTTTAGGTCTTCTTACCACTGTTTTTATTATTAAAGATAACCCCTAATTGTTTTTATGTTTTTTTATGTTTCATTGTTTGTGCTACAGAGTGTAATCAGTAGAATATGTAAGCAAAATAAACAATAAATAGCATAACGACCTGAAACTCTGTTCTGTATTCATTCTAGCAAGCTGGCAATGGTGTTAGAATTGCTAGATTCTTCATTCGGGGTAATGAGCATTGTTTATGCCTATATTTCACTATATGAGGAAGAGAGTGATAGTAATATGAAGTTAAACATGTACGTTGGGGTTGACTAAATCATTAACACTCTAGTTTCTTACTTTCGTATTTAATTATGGGTAAAAAAAATTTCTGAGAATGAAGTAGACCTAAAACTTTTGATGTTAGCACATGCACTACAATTTTAATAAGTTTAATATAGGGCCTATCAATTAAGTAATTTCACTAAGCCTTTGTAATTAAAATTGGCATTAAAACTTGTCTCAGAGATCCAGCGGAGTAGCTGCATCTCCAGTAGATGATGACAAGGTTCTGTGTATCATCCGAGATCTTGTGGACAGTCATGGTGGTACTGCAGGAAAACACACCCTTAACTTACAGGCCTCTGTATCTGCCTGTCAAGCTGCCTGTGATATAGCCAGAGCTTGTGGTTACAAGGAAAACACTGTCTCCATTCATTATGAGTCACAGCTGGGTGGTGATGGTGATGTAAGTAGAATTTTAAAGTGTACAGAATATTTTTTTTCATTTCTAATATATGACAAATATATCCTAATCTTTATGTAAACTCTGTAATGATTAATGAATGATAGGTTATATTGATATAGCTATTAAATATTCAACATTGTTTTAATAGATTTTACTAGAAGCACAAGATCCAGATGTTTTACTGGGAACAGTTTGTAGTTCAGGAGCGAAACGACACAGTTTCACTATACATGAACTTGATGGAACAATGCCTCAAAAACTAGTATGATTCTGCTTAAGTAAACTTTTAACCTACGTAATTATAATGAATCTAGCTGCACTTTTTATATTCTTATAAAAAATATCTACTATATTCTCAGGAAGAAAACATGTCAACATTTAGTGATACTAGTTCTCCCGTGAGTCTTCCTGCAAAACCTGTTGAAGAATTCTCCTATACTTATAATAATTCTTCTCCAAAGTCTGAAACTGGTGAGTTTACATATAATCATACATTCAATCTAATGAGAGCTTAGAAGTAGTTATTAAGCAAAGGAATTGCATTACTACATTTTGTAAAATGGAGTGGAACAGTTGGACAGTAGATCTCTGACTTCTAACCCAAACGTCTTGAATTCAGACAATCCTGAGTCCACCCAGCTCTGATAGATACCTGACCCATGACAGGGAAAATAAGGGTGGCTGGGCGTGGTACTGACACTCTTTCCCTTCATATACTGAGGTCACAGATACATGTTAACTCAATTTTATCTGCCCCATGGACCAGCAGATAAGAAAGATTAAAATTTGGTAAAACATAATAACTTAGTTAGAACATGTATACTTGATGTGATGTTTATAACCATGTCACTTACTTTTCAGGCTACCTTGGTCTTGTTAACCAGGCTATGACATGCTACCTTAACAGTCTGTTACAAACTTTGTTTATGACACCTGAATTTAGGAATGCTTTATACAGGTATATTTAGCTCTCTGAAATTTAGGAATTTAATTTTATACCGGGATATTAAGCTCTCAGATAGAAGTTAAGACAGAACTTAATTCTTCAAACTAATCAAACCGATTTTTAATGTCATTTATATTTTTTACTTCAGATGGTCATTTGACGGGGCAGAAGAAGAAAAAGTCAAAAGCATACCATATCAGCTCCAGAGGCTCTTTCTTCAATTGCAAGTATGTTCATGCAGTTATAACAGCCCATTAACATTTTTGTATAAACAAATTGCTCTTTGATTGACTTGTATAATTTTGCATCCAATGCTTTTATTAGTGCTTGTGAGTATTAATACTTTGCTTTTAATGATAAAACATTTTAAGCTGTTTTAATTAAGAGTCTGTTATCGTGAAAATTTTACTTCTATAGACAAGTAAAAAAAGAGCAGTTGAGACAACTGATCTTACCCGCAGTTTTGGCTGGGACAGCAGTGAAGGTAATTTTCACATTTCTTGTTAAGTCTGTGCTCATTAGTATTTGATTTTTAAGCATTTAAAAACTCTTTTTGGGTCATATAAATTATTCTAATGAATTAAAGTTTGACATGGTTTAACAGTTTGGCAGCAACATGATGTTCAAGAGTTGTGTCGTGTAATGTTTGACGCACTGGAACAAAACTGGAAAAACACTGTTCAATCTAACTTGATCAACCAACTTTATCAGGGCAAAATGAAAGATTATGTGAAGTGTTTAGAGGTATAAAAATTTTTATCCTGTAATCTATATATATAAAAAGCAATGTATGTGTGTCTGTCTGTCTGTCTTTCTTGGATTGCTACACCTTTCATCAGATCGATATGAAACTTTGGGAAGTTGTTGAGAATACCCCTTGTAAGATTTCTGCGAAAAACAAGAATTCAGTTGCCACGGGTGGCGCCTCGGCAGGGTGCAGTTTAGCCCCCCAAGCTATCATATGAGTGCTATGGTGCCTATGTTTGTTTTAAACTGTCATAGACTGTGGATAAAATGGGGCATTATAGTCGTTCACTAAACTGAATCAGGGCGTCCGCCTATGCACTGGCAGGGCGCGATTTGGCACCCAGGGCTATTTCTTGAGCGCTACAGCACATATGTTCATTTTAAAGAGTGTGATAGAATATGGATAAGAAATAGTATTATAGTCATTCACTAAATTGAATCAGGCGTGTACGCCTGCGCCCTGGCAGGGTGCAAAAGTTAACTTACATGTAAACAAGAACATTGAAATTTTTTTTTATATTAGTTTTGAGGTTTGCCTATAGTTAAGTTGTTAAAAATACTTTAACATACAGTGATATGAAAGTAACATGTTGAAGTTATAAACAACAAATTGTAACAAAAGGATATAATCATAATTGTGAATTTTTTGTTGAAAATTTGACAGTGTGATAATGAAAGTGCAAGGGTTGATGCTTATCTTGACATCCCTTTGGTTATACGACCATTTGGATCAACTGAATCTTATGGCAGTGTGGTAAGCAAAACAGATTGTGAATATAGTCCTTTTTTTAAAAACAATTTCTATAGTGTATCAGCTTTATTTAAGATAAACATTAATGAAATGTGAATATGTCTTTGCAGAAAGAAGCTATGAATGCTTTTGTTCAGCCAGAGATTCTGGATGGCACCAACCAATACTTTTGTGAAAAGTGTAACAAAAAATGTAATGCTCACAAGGTGAAGTAAAAAATTTTTTAGAGTATGCAGCCACTGATGTGTTAGGTGTAGGATACAATTTATCAACCCAATTTTCCCCATTTTTCTTTTTAGGGCTTGAAGTTTGTGTCTTTTCCTTACCTCCTAACACTTCAGCTAAAGAGGTTTGATTTTGATTATGCCACCATGCACAGGATCAAACTCAATGACAAGTAAGTATTTTTATTTCTTAGGTTTCAAAATTATCAATGAAGTCAATTTGTTTATATTTTAAGAATACAGTTTTGTCTTATGTATACTTAAATTTTGTTGAATGCTCACAGAATGACATTTCCTGAAGTCTTAGACCTTAACCATTTTATCACAACCGCCAATATTGGTAATAAAGATTCAGAAGGAGAAGAGATGGAGGATGAGAAAACAGTTCTTCCAAATGGTCAGGTTGATAGTAGTGATGAAGGTATGGGAATGGTATTTTTTTTCCTTAACAACAACTGCTTATATTAAAGCAGTGTTTTTTTTTGTTTTAGTTTTTAATGCATCTTTAGGTTGGGTGTTTTTGTACACCAGATTTTTGCAAAAGCAATGATTTTTAAAAATTTTTTTATCTTGGGTCGGGTGCCAGTGCAGTGAGTTGGATGAAAATATAATGTTGATTATAAATATGCAGTACCCAAGAGTAACCTATGTTTCTGTGAAATTTGTCTTAAAGGGATTGATGAAGGGATTGATGTAGAAAATGGCTGTTCTGCAGCTTCGTCTGGGAGTGATACATCCAGCATCAGTAGTGATGCAGCAGCCAACAATACAAGAAATTCCATTTACTCTGGTGGCAAAGTAAGATTTTTCTCCTAATCTGAAATTTTTCCCTAGCTTTTTCTTAGCCAACATGTTATGGGTTTATGGTCACATCTTTTATTTTGACCAATTACTATTAAAATTTCTTTCAAATTTAAAATGTGAAGTATTTCTGATGAAAATGCATAATTGTTACATTATTGGCTGTTTTCATTTTTTTACTGAAACAGTAATAGTTGTAAAGTTTTACTCATTTATTTATTTTCTTCTCTACAATTAAAAATAGTAAATTAGTGTTTTTGTTCTGTGTATATTAATGTTACATTTATCTTCTTCAGGGTCCTTATGTGTATGAATTATTTTCCATTATGATACACTCTGGAAGCGCAGCAGGAGGACACTACTATGCATATGTCAAGTAAATATCAGACATATTTTACTACTTCACTGTATTAACCTAAAAGTTTGTAATTGAATAGTATTTATTCATTAGATCCCAGTTATGTTTTGTATCCTGAGTCATATTAAAAAAAATGCATTAAGAAACAAAGATTTCAACTTAGAAATAAAAAGGGGATCAACTTTTTCCTGTACAAGTTGATCAAGTGGTACAAGTACTAAGGAAAAATAGCAATCATAACTCTGTTTGCCCTTTTAGAAAATTGGTGTTGGTTTTTTTTAAAATTACATTTTTTATATTCATGTAACCGTTACAGTATTCTGACATTTAAAAATATACTTCTAGGTCTTTCAAAGATGGTCAGTGGTATAGTTTTAATGATCAGCAAGTGACTAAGGTATGTTAAAAAGATTTTATTATATTCATATACACAACATACGAAAATGTCAGTGTCTGCAGGTTTTTGTGTGTGCCATATTTATGTTTACAGATCACTTACGATGATATCAGGAAAACATATGGGGGCAGTTCTATGGGAAGAGGATTTTATTCTTCAGCTTATACAAGGTTAGGAAAAGCGTTGACCCTCATTTAATAACAGTTTGATTTAATTTATTTTTGCATTTTAATAAGAGTAAAAAATTGTCTTTATTCATGTGTGAAAGTAAAATAATACTACATAATATTAGAAAATACCAGTCATAAAAATGTACTAAAAAATACCAAAGCAATTAAAATCAAAGTATTTTTCGCCAGCTCCACAAGTGCTTATATGTTGATGTACAGACAGATAGATAAAACACTCAATGCTGGTCAGTTTTCTGTTTTAAATATGCATGTTCTTTTATTGACACGTCTTCTTACATCTTTTTATTTTTATTCTTTTTTTTCTAATTACAAAATAAAGTAATACAAATCTTGTTAATTTTTTTCTAAAGTTTAACAGTTAATTCTTCTGATAGATTTTATGCAACCAGAAGATTTTCCAGAACGTCTGAAAGCAGAACTAAAGTACATAAAGGACAAAGAAGAGGCAGAGAGAAGACAGAGAGAAATTGACAAATCCACTTGTAAGGTAAGACCAGGGTTGTAAAATTATTGCTGAGACCTATATTCCTCAGTCATATTGAAATGTTTTCAGCACCATATTAAAATGTCTTACTGTCTGTTAGTCCATGTGTGATTTCTGTCACCAGATCAAGCTTTATTGTTTCCACCCTCAAGATCAACACAAAATGGAAGTGAAATTAGAACTACACAAGGACAAAACTTTGCTAGAGGCCACAGAAATATCAAGAGAGGTAATTTTTAAAAACCTTTTTTTTCTTTGTACAGAATTTTCAATTTTTATAAGCTATTTTCAAATTCATAATTTTTTGTGAATATGTGAAGAAACAGATGACTTTACCACCACATAATTTTTGTTTCTTCAGTTATTTAACTTACAATCTCTGGTTCCACTGGACTGCTGTCGTCTAGTAAAGTATGATGAGTATCAAGATTCACTAGAGAGGTCATTTGAGGGAGAAGAATCTCTGCCCATAGCCACTGTTTTGGGAGGTGTAAAATCCAACTATACGTTTGACTTGCTGCTGGAGACTAAGAAACCAGAACAGACATTTTTGGAATATAAACCTGGGGGTAAATTAACTTTATCTTGAGAATAATCATGGTTAACCTTTTCTGTGTTGATCTTGCCTTGTTTTCCATAATACTGCCAATTTTTTGCTTTTGACAATCTAATTTCAAAAAGAATAAGTAATGCTTTTTTCTTGTAAGTTTGGTATTTAAATTTTTTAGCTTGAATTTTTCTAATTTCAAAACTGCAGTGTACAGCAAATACTTGTAAATCTTTTTTGTGTAATGTGATTTTGTGATATTCTCTTTTGATTACCATCAGCTGTATCAGTGTTATAATTTATTCTAATTTTTACCGGCTTATTTTTTAATTTTATTTGATGGTTTTCAATCTGTAGGTATTTTAAAATCACTTTATAACAAAACCCTCTGTTTAATCCCTTTTCGTAAGCAACCTGAGTTAAATGTTATCCTTTGTAGACTATTGTTGTATACATACGTAGTTAAAATAAACTCATTTCAATAGGAGTTACAGTCAAAGTGCATGAAGTGGATATAGTCTCAGGCAGGATTCACCCACCTATCAGTGTAAGGGCCTACCATGTGCAGACAGTAGCAGAATTCAAGCTAATGTTGAAACAGGTTGGTTTAATCTTAGTTTTAAATCCTACCAGAAATCCATCTTCAGAATTTATCACACTATCCCTTCATTTAATTAAGGTGACAACATGTCAGCTCTATTTACACAATTGTTCATTACTTTTTTGTTGTTGTAGGTCTTAGGTTATCCAGCAGCCAACATCCGCTGTGTTTTAGAACGCTTTCATAATGATCTCAGGCCACTTGTTGAACCCGCTAAAACTTTAAAGGCTGAAGGATTCTACAAGTCCAATAAGGTACTCTCCCCTTTGTCTATGTAGGATAAAGTGGCACATGAATTTACTATTGTAGTACATTGTGTCAGCTGTATACATACATTGATTGAATTCTATTATTGTACTATACAGGTATTTGTTGAGTGTTCTGGTGACTTGGCTGATAACTCAGTCCCATACACACAGTCACAACTCTGTCATCTGCTGGATCAATACCAGCACACCATCCGCATCACTTGTTGCCTGCCTAGTCTCAGTGAGTACTTTTTATTGTTGGAACCTACAAGGCTATGTTTGACCATTGAGAAAAGGCCATTACAATTGTTTAATAGTTGAATTTTACTTTATTTGTTAAAGATTATGAAATGTACAATTCTATTCATCCAGTTGTTAATTACCAATGCAGGAAACAATAACTGTATACTAAGATTTTGTTTATATATTGATGTGTAGTGTACTGTGTTCATTCCATTATAAACTAGTATTGTTTTTATTCTGAAAGCACATAGTTTCAGGTACAATAATTAGAAATTGATAGAATTGTCTAAAAACTTAGATGGGTTATATTCTATAAAACTATCATTACCATACTAAAGTGAAGTAAAAATATTTTAAAGAATTGAATGTTTATGGTTTTATATTACAAGATAAATTAAGTATATATTTTACACATCTTTTTTAAAATTTCAGAATCCGTGCAAGAATATTTAGCAACTGTAAAAGAGCAGCCAAAAATGTCACCTAAAGGGAGTCACAACCTCTCCCACAACTTAAAAGCAACACAAGCCTCACATGACGCTGGTTCAGGTGATCCATCACATCCTTTCCAAGATGGTGGTGGTGATTTCTCTCACCTGGACGAGGGCATCAGTGAGCACGACTCAGCCTTCTACAGTGGTGCGACAAACTCTAAACATTCACTCTCAGGAGTGGACCCAGGGTCCAACTTTTCCATCAGCAGCTCAACCACAACTGACACCAGGTATGGTGCTGGGACTGTGACCAACCTCTCTCAAAAAGACGAGGTGGCCGTCGCAGCATTTGACGAGGAGCTGGAGAATGGCCTTGACAAGAACGACACCCCCAGGCTGATCAGTGACTGTGAGTCCTGTAGTGGACTTGATGACCTTGGGAAAAAAAGAGAAGAATTTTCTAGTTCATCCCGCCAGCACTCCTCATCCCACGAACATTTAACAGATGTTATGGCCAACGTTTGCTCCAAGCTTTCATCTGTTTGCTTGACCAGCTCCCGCAGTGACCCGTCCATTTATCACACCTGTGCTGACCACAGTGATGATTCCCTCCAGTGTCTGGGGTCAGGGCCAAGCACAGGTAGTCAGGAGGACACCAGCACCAGTGCAGAGTTTAATCTCAGCTGCTCTGGCCCTGACCCAGAGCCCATCCTGTCATCACCAGAAGATGGCTATGGGTTTGAGGATGAAAATGAAGAAGACAAAGATATGGATGGAGGTGGGGAGATTGAACCAATCAATCCAAGATTGTGCGGGGGTGGCAGAAGGAGTGGAATCCACGACCTAGACTTGGGTTCAATAAATGACCATTTTGATGCCAAGCTTAACGTGCAGTTTCTCATTGGTCAGTTTGAACCAGTTGAAGACTGGGACTCTGAGACAGCAGCTGCTCCACTGTCAAAAACTGACAACTCATACTTTCCATTTCAATCTTCATCCTTCCTTCCCAACTCATCTTGGGGCCTTCCTTCAGCACATAGTGAATCAAGTCTACTGCCTAACTCGACGCAAATTCCCTCTACTGACTTTGCTGAAGATGGAGACATTGACTTAAGTAGAGCAAGGCAACTTCCACCACCCCCTCCACCACCGCCTCCACCCCCTCCTCATTTATTTTCTGAACGGAACACAAAAAATTGTACAGCACAAGCCAAGTCCACTGACAATGATGATGATGACGAGGAAGAAGAGGTGAAGAGATATTTCCATGCTGTGATGACAGAAGCTTCAGAGACTGAGGAGAGAAGTAAGTTTGCATTTAAAATATTTCTATGAAATGTATTATAACAAATCCACTTTCTCAACTCAAAAATAATTCCTTTGTTTTTTAAATTTAAAAACAATATCAATCACTGCTGCTAGTTTTTATTTGGTGTGCAATTTGTTTATTGCTTCACTAATTATGATAAATGACAAGTGAGTGCCAGGGTGTTATAAAAACAGCTGTAACACAAGAATGTCTTTGGAAGAAATCCAATCATTAGTCAGTTGCACTAAATCCAACTCTCAATGTTGTTGTATGAAGAGCTTAGAAAAGATAAAGAGCAATTTATAATCAATATTTTTTATACAAACACGGGATTGTATCTCAATTAAATTGCTTGATATTTGTAATTAGTATTTGTTAGGATTTCTAAGGACTGTTTTAATACATTTTTAAAGTATGAACCTGTCTTAATAGAATTAACATAAATTTGGTGGAAATCCAATTTTCCAATTAATGGTTGAAAATTTACTTGAAAACAATTCAGCTGATTCCTTTTCTTTACATTTGTAATTTTAAATAGGTATATTACTTATGTATTTATAAGAACATATTTTTTTCCTGTCATTTGACATTGCTGGATGTGTTCTACAGGTATCTCTATGACTCAAACCACACTTACTCGCTTCCAGAGGTCACACATGACATTAATACCAATAATGTAATTTAGGGTCATTTGTTTATTTTGTATGCCTTAAATGACGTCACAGCTTTTAATATTTCGATCCCATAAACCCCTACACTGTTAACCACCCTTCCTCCCCCATGTTTTAAGTCCAGAAATAGTATTTTATGTTGTTCAGGTACATCTCTGCTGTCTTCATTTACAGGAGTTGTAATTCTTAACCTTCTATTCTTGTATTTTTTTCAACTACAAATAATTCAGGAAAATTATGAATGTGAAGTTTAAAGAAACATGAAAATATTTTCTATGACATGATTAATATTTGGTAAATAAACAAAATTGTAAAAGTAAATGAATACAATTAATTTAATGTTGAAGTATTGTTTAGTTGAAGGCATTACATATACCAATAGCCTGCTTTGTGAGATACTTTTATGGGAGGAGTCTGTATCTTGATATTTTAATTATAGAAAATAGACATTCTTTTAGACAAATAATATTTTTAAATACTTGTAGTTTTGTTTTATAATGGTATGTTGTCTTCATCTTGCAGTATTGAATGTTTCTGTTGATAAAAGAATTACCCTTGGGGCTTTCAAGAATCATCTCCAACCATATGTAGGAGTTGTGTCAAATCTTTTCAAGGTTATTACCCTCATTTTAAATGTGACATCTGTTATGCACAATTTGTTAATTTTTGTTTTTAAAATCTGTTTCAATTACAGTTTATTCCATTATAACTTATCTAAAATTGTAGATTTGATATAATTTTACTGCCATGTTAATAATTATTTTATTCATCTATTAGGTCTACCGTGTATATTCTAACAATCAGGAGTTTGAAAGTGTTCGGCTTTCAGACACACTTTCATTTTTTGAAGACGGAAAGGCAAGTAAAGTTTTATGAATAATTAATGAGCCTAGAGTTAGATGTAAGGTTGAGTATTTTAAAATGTTGTGTGAACTGCTGAAGTAAGAACATGTTTTCTACCTCTGTAGTTTAACATAAAACTTGGACGAGCACTACAGCCTGGTGAACATAGAGTCAAAGTTTTTCAACTGTGTGTCAATGAAGCAGAGGTTGGTATTCAAATCATTTTCTTTTTGTTATTAATTGGGTGAAGGGAGCAACAACATATATATTGTTTCAAATGTCTACTGTTGATTTTATATACACATTTTCCCTTTTGCTGTCTTCTCTAGCCCTGCAAATTCTTGATTGAAACAATATTTGCCAAAGGAATGACTGTGTTAGAATCAAAACGACTTGTTATCTCTGAGATAAAAGAGCAGTGCAACATTGACATTCCCATTGAAAGGTATACACCCGCAACCTTTATCATAACGCTACATTTTTATTACAATAAAATTTGACAGAATTTTTTTCTATTCTTTAAAGATTGCTTTAGAAGCTATGCTGTCGTAGGTAAAATAATTGCTCAACTAACTTAAGAATTTTATTTTTGCTTCTGTAAAAAAAATTAGGTGCCGGCTTAGGAAAAAATCTTGGACTAACCCTGGCACAGTGTATCTTGATAACCATGTTTATGAGAACGAGATTCCTATCTACCCTAACTGGGAGATTTTCCTTGAGGTTCTTGAAGGTATGCTCTCTGATTTTTAAACTACTTACTCTTCAGGTTTCTGGCTACCCACTAGACCACCCACTCGCTCATCTCAACTAATGCTTTTAGTTTTAAAGAATGCATTTTGTTTTAAAGATTTTCTCCAAGCTCATTTACTTTAGTTTTTTTTTGTATTTTATAAAGTTTTTCCTTAACCCACAGCTAATGAAGAGCTAAAGGACACATCCCATCTTGCAATATATGTCAGACATTGGCACCCGTCCACCCACCAGATTGACCCATTCCATGAGGTGGTCCTCAAGCATCAGACAGTAGAGGAGCTGAAACTTAAGGTTGCTACTTAGGCTTGTCCTGACATGTTTCTTACCATATGGTGCTACTTACTTCAGTCTTTCATCACCTTTAATTGTGCCATATTTATGTCATTATCTGCTTCAAATTTTTCTTTATAAAATAAAATATTCTGTTTTTTTTTTTCTGTAATTGTTAATGTCACCTGACAGTCCATGGGGCAAGTGAATTGAGTTCACTGGTTTCTGTGACCTCGGCATGTGAAGTGAAAGGTTGTCAGCACTATGCCCAGCTGTCTTTAATTTCCCTAGTGTGAGTTAGTTACCCATCAGACCTAAGTGTACTCAGGGACATTCTACTGACTTGAACCCGGATTTGAACTTGGGTTAGCAGTCCTAGCTTACTACCGCTAGGCACACAGTCCCATTAAAATTTAACATGACTAATTTCGTTTTCTCTCCTTTCCTCATGATTTTTCAACTAACATTTCAGATTTCTCTCTTAAGTGGAATTCCTGTTGAAAATGTTGAGTTCGCTAAGGTAAATACAAATTACGTAAACAGTTTTTTGCTTTTAGAAAAATGTTAACAGATTGTTTTTATTTTGGTTAAATCTGATCAAAAAGGATTCATGAACAGAAAAGCTAATAATTAGATACTTAATGGAAAGCTTAGATTTACCCTAGGCTTCAACCAAATCCAAAGAGGAGTTTATTTTTTTAAAACGGTTAGCAGAATGAAGTTGACTATTAGATAACCACAAAAAACAGCCTATAAAAAATGTATTTCTGTATTTATAGGGTAAAGGTACTTTCCCATGTGAGGTGTCTGTGCTGGAGATTCACACTGACCTGGAGTGGAACCCTCATGTCACAACATTAAACATGTGGCCACTTTACATATGTGATGATGGCCATGTCATTTACTTTAGGTAGGTTAACATGTTAAATTATGTCACAACATTAAACATGTGGCCACTTTACATCTGTGATGATGGTCATGTCATTTACTTTAGGTAAGGTTAACATGTTAAATTATGTCACAACATTAAACATGTGGCCACTTTACATCTGTGATGATGGTCATGTCATTTACTTTAGGTAGGTTAACATGTTAAATTATGTCACAACATTAAACATGTGGCCACTTTACATCTGTGATGATGGTCATGTCATTTACTTTAGGTAGGTTAACATGTTAAATTATGTCACAACATTAAACATGTGGCCACTTTACATCTGTGATGATGGTCATGTCATTTACTTTAGGTAAGGTTAACATGTTAAATTATGTCACAACATTAAACATGTGGCCACTTTACATCTGTGATGATGGTCATGTCATTTACTTTAGGTAGGTTAACATGTTAAATTATGTCACTACATTAAACATGTGGCCACTTTACATCTGTGATGATGGTCATGTCATTTACTTTAGGTAGGTTAACATGTTAAATTATGTCACAACATTAAACATGTGGCCACTTTACATCTGTGATGATGGTCATGTCATTTACTTTAGGTAGGTTAACATGTTAAATTATGTCACAACATTAAACATGTGGCCACTTTACATCTGTGATGATGGTCATGTCATTTACTTTAGGTAAGTTAACATGTTAAATTATGTCACAACATTAAACATGTGGCCACTTTACATCTGTGATGATGGTCATGTCATTTACTTTAGGTAGGTTAACATGTTAAATTATGTCACTACATTAAACATGTGGCCACTTTACATCTGTGATGATGGTCATGTCATTTACTTTAGGTAGGTTAACATGTTAAATTATGTCACAACATTAAACATGTGGCCACTTTACATCTGTGATGATGGTCATGTCATTTACTTTAGGTAGGTTAACATGTTAAATTATGTCACAACATTAAACATATAGCCACTTCACATCATGTCATGATGGCCATATGATTTACTCATTGATTCTTTTGTTGTTGACTAGCTCCCAGTATTCCATATGACACTGTGCTTAAGGCAGAGCACCTACTCTCCTGTATAGATTTGTGCTCAGATTGTTGCACAAACATTAACCTGTTCCACAAAGACTAAGCTGTGTACTTATAGCTAAACTTCAGCTTTTAACATGTTGGGTACAGCACTATTTACATGCGTTTTACCTCTGTCTCTGTTTGTATGCTTTTTTCTTCTGTTGAGATGGCACGTAATTTTTTTTCATTCGATAGAGATAACAGAGAAGAGCTAATAGAATTGGCAGAGGATAAAAAGAAGGAAATCCAGCAGAAAGAAAACAGGTATTTTAAAATTATCAGTTCTCTTAAGGTAGCTAATATTAGCTCTAACTAATTTACCTCGAATGCGACACACCCACAGGCACTCACATTTCTCTAGAAAGCCTGAATAAATTGATCTGACTGCCATTGCCCATCATGTTTCTGTTGCATTATTATAGTGCAAAAAATGCTTCCATGTTATTTACACTTAATAAAATGTAATCTACTTGATTTTTTTTCTCAAGAACCTGAAGTTTCTAGCTGTTTATTATTTGATTAACCCTTGAGTATCAGACACATTTTGAGCTTGTCCTCAATTAAATAGTCACTTCGGCATTTTCATAGTTTTAAAGTTTATTCATACAACTCAGAAAATGTAATAAATATTTATTAAGCTGTTATTAGTGTTAGAATTAACAATCAAAGTCGCAATTATATTTAGTCAGTAAAATTTTGCAATTTTTGATATTTGAGCAAAAATCTAATATATTTATACATTTTATTGTTTAAACATGTAATTGTGGTGTAAATATTGGGTTGGAGTATATCACTTTGTGAACTTAAGTCAGTAGTGTATCGATTAAACTATGTTTGCCAGCCTGACTCACTCCGAGGTTAGGTTGTGGTTGACTTTGATCCAGCTGCCTAGATATGTGACATTGCAAATGTCTGGCACTGACACATGCCTGTGCCAATTGAAGTATGATGTTAGGTTGTGGTTGACTTTGATCCAGCTGCCTAGATATGTGACATTGCAAATGTCTGGCACTGACACATGCCTGTGCCAATTGAAGTATGATGTTAGGTTGTGGTTGACTTTGATCCAGCTGCCTAGATATGTGACATTGCAAATGTCTGGCACTGACACATGCCTGTGCCAATTGAAGTATGATGTTAGGTTGTGGTTGACTTTGATCCAGCTGCCTAGATATGTGACATTGCAAATGTCTGGCACTGACACATGCCTGTGTCAATTGAAGTATGATGTTAGGTTGTGGTTGACTTTGATCCAGGTGCCTAGATATGGGGTGTGGGGAAATTGCGAGACGCGAAAAGCGAAATGGCGAGGCGGGAAAATGCGAGAAGGGCGCGAAAACGGTCGGTCACGTGACTTTTTGTCTCGCATTTTACCACAACCCGATACTTACGCTGGGTGGTGTTGAAATGCGAAGATTTCTGCGAAAATTTACCGCACCCGATTTTCAGTGGTATTTGGTCCAGACTTCAAAGACGTTTTCGTTTACATTGTTAAAACTTCCGATTTTTCCGTCGCTAGACATACTGATGATTTGTCAACTCCCCCCCCCCCCCCCCCCCCCCCCATCTTTTGTGTCGACTTAGAATACCACCTTGTTCGAAACCGACGGAAATACCGCCGACGATAGATCAACTTCTCTCTTTTGTGTGGAACGCTGAAGCCGCCGAAACCGTCTTTGAAGATCGCCGTGCCGCCGCAAACATATTGTGTATTGTTGCATAGAAATGTGTGACGTCACACTATAAAAAAGCAATGTTAGAAAAATAATTTTAGACGTTTTTCGCGTTTTAGAAAACTGTTTTCAAAAATTGTAATAGGAATTGATTAAAATACAGAAATTAGAAGAGATTTTGGGAAAATATCGATGTTTTAAAAAAAATTCAACTGCAATTTTGAGGGGGCAGGGGGGGGGGGGGGGTTGTAGACTGAGGTGTGACGTCATTTTAGTGGGAGGGGGGTCTGGATTTTTGTGAAAATGTGTGACGGAGGGGAGGGGGGTAAAAATAGTCATTTATGGATGACCTGGTAGTTTTCTCCATAGCGGACTTTATTCAGATTATCTACAGACGCCCATTTTTTTTCATTCTGTTCATATTCGTGTTCTGTGTTAGCACAGTATAAATGGGAGTCTAATGAACTGGGTTGGATGTACTATGTGTGAAAGATGGTGTGACGAGGTGTTTGATTAATGCTAGGACTGTTTCAGAAGATTTTGTTTGTAAATTTTGTTTGTAATTAAAATTACTTAATAAAACATAAATTACACTTTTAAGAATTGTTTATACTTTTACACTTTTTGCAATGAATACATGTTGCAAAATATCTCTCCTGCTGACAAGATTATACCAATTCACAATGACACAGCTCACGTTTGTATAAACATGAGCGGGCTAGATTTTTAAAATTAATGCCGACTGAGACGGGATTTTCCTCTCGCTAACGAGAGCGGGCGATGACAGTTGCACAGCAACGATATTAGGATTTTTTTAATAGATCTAGATCTAGATATAGATCTATCTATCTTCTTAGTATCTATATATATATATATATATATATATATATATATATATATATATATATATATATATATATATATATATATATATATATATATATATATATATATAATAAAATCTAGATAAAAAATAACAACATACAACACTCGTGTTAAAGGGTATGGCTACATGCTAGTTTATTTTAAAACAAAAAAAAAATAATTTAAATAAATAAAGATGAAATAAGCATGAAAAAAAAACTTTTTTTCGCAAAAAGTGTCTCGCTATTTACCCTTGATTCCGCAGGTATGTCTCGCATGATCTTCTCGCATTTTCCCGCCTCGCCATTTCGCTTTTCGCGTCTCGCAATTTCCCCACACCCCTAGATATGTGACATTGCAAATGTCTGGCACTGACACATGCCTTTGTCAATTAAACTATCCTAATTTATAAAAGCCCAATGTGCGCACATCTCTCTCTCTCTCTCTCTCTTTCTCTGTCCGCAAAAAATTTTCGCCGGACATCACGTCAGAATCGGCAGCGGTATATGGAGAACTTTTTACGGACTTTTGTTGAAAATAATATGTTAGATGTTTTAAATGTATAACCACAATTTTACTTAAAGAAGAAAAATAAAAATTAAAGGCGTATTCGAATGTAGAGAAACAGTATTATTTATGCAACCGGAAAAGCATTAATATATGTGAAAAAGAACGCATAAAACTGTGACGTCACTATTGCTTATACATTAACTAATGACGTCATCTGCCGTGTTAAGAATGAAAAGAAATGAACTATTTCATTCAAATTTGATTTAGATCTACGTACACTATGAAATGTATACAATACAATTTTTCCGGCCTAAACTCATAAAATTTATTTTATGTATTTGGATTCTAGATCTAGAGATTCTAGATCTAGACTAAATCTAAATCTAAATCTACGCAATAACTAGATCTAGACGTAGACGCTAAGATCTAGATTTAGACTCTAACTTCTCTAAAATCAATTCCAAAAATAAATTTCTATATTAGGACTAAACTATTTCAAGACTTATTTATTTTATACAAAATCTTTGTTTGGAACTGGCTAATTTGGGATAAAAAATTAATTTGAAAGAATAGGCATATTCGCGTAAGTTAAGATTTTAAAATACGTGTTTCATTCTCCGTATTTTATAAGGTGCCTAAATAGCGGAGATGTTAGTGTACATTAAACCACGCAGGTGGTGCGGGTTCGAGACACAGCAAGTCAACTTGGTTAATGTATTCTTTTTTATTATGCTCGGGCTAAACTTAAAAAAAAAATTCTTTTAGGAATCTAGATCTAGATTGTCGGGTGTCCGATAGGGCACTTCCCGGCGCCGCAGGCGCTTCAAATTTGGCATGATCTTGCCTTGGTGCGACAGAACACGGGGGCCGGTTGGCCGAAAAGTCTACGATGTGGGGGTCAAAACTGACCTCGACTGACCGGTACCTTATATGAGCTATAAATCGAAAAAAAATGTCCACGGAGGAACCTCTTCATAACTCTTGAGGTCGTAGACCGACCTTCGGGCGAATTAATTAAGCATTCAAATTCTCAATGTTTTCGAAAGCCTAAGCGAAGCTGGGCAGCATGCCTAGTGATGTTAGGTTGTGGTTGACTTTGATCCAGCTGCCTAGATATGTGACATTGCATGCCTGCGTGCCATGTCCTTTATAATGGAATCACACAGAATATAGAACATGGTTCTAGGGAAGTTTTGATAAGATTTATTAAGTCTTTAGCCTGAACTTTATAGTTGTTTCTTTTATAGTAGTAGTAGTAGTAGTTAGCCGACCTTCCTTCTTCAACATATGAGTTGGCTAGAGAAGTCCAGGTAACTCAATCCTGAGCTAGTTGTTTACAAAACTTGTTTCCAGTGGCAACCCATGTTTTTATGTCATCGTATTATAATCATTATGAACACATTTTTCAGGATATCTCGTCAAAACCACAAGATTTCTTGCTCGCCTCGCAAAGAAAGAGCCTTGAAAATTTACACAGATGATGATAACCATGTAACAAAAAGCACGGTGGAGTTGGAATAACAAGTATTCTGAGACATTTATCATGTTGCTGTGCAATAATACAATCATTTGTTGCGCCTGATACCTAATATCTTATGAGGCATAGTTTTGTATGAAATCTTAGCCAAGTTTGTTTCTGTAGGCAGATATTACTACAGACAATTTTTAAAATCTATTTTAATTTTTGCACTTTTATTGAGTTGAATCAAGATACAAAAGATTGCCTGTTTATAATTTATATTATTTTAATTTTGTTTTTATAGATAGGTGTTTTTTTTAAATTTTAAATTGCTTTTCGGAAAATTGAGAAGAACTTTATACAATGAATTTGTAAACTATAAAGCATGTTTGATTGTGAGTGGAATAGAAAAGCATAAATTATGCTCATCTTCAATAGTCAGACAAAGGTCTGTTTGTAATTGCATTCAGTTTAGTTGAATAGTCTCATTTATAGTTATAGTCATATTTTGTTACTTTGTATAAAGTATTTCCATAGTAGCTGAATTAATTTCTTATTCAGTCAAAAAAAAATGAGCAAACCATCTTTGTTAACTTGCCTGTGGTACATTTGTGTGAGCAAAAACATACTGCATGTAATCAGTACTTGAGTTTTTCGCTTCAGCTTCTTCTCATAACAGCTAGAATAGGTACATTTTCAGAGCTGAGATACATGTAATGTTTTTAGATAATTTGATTCAGAAGACATTTTCTTTTTAAAACAGAAGAAATATATTTGTATTTTAAATGATCCATAACAAAATAATTCTCACCTCATTAAAAGTTTCTGTTTTGATCCTTGAAAAGAATTAGCTCATAGCTTTTTAAAATTGTGTATGCAAACATAACATATATGACAGTGAAAAAAAAAAGTTGCAAGTAGATCCAACTAAGTACATCACATGGTGTGTTGTAAACTAGTTTGTGTGAGGTTTCACCTGTATTTGACACTTAATGCCTTTCTGTTTTTATTGTTTGCTTACAGTCAATTCTTGTCTTTCACTCAGTTTTTTCTTTCTCAAGCAATTGCAAACAGCCATAGGAGAGATGGTACCTATGAGGGATGGGGGGGGGGGGTGGGCTGTGTCTGTATAGTTTACATATGTGGTGGTTTTCCTGTACTAGGATGTTACATTTGGGTGGGTGGGGGGGGGGGGGGAAAGAAATGGCTATTGTCACAAGATGATTTGCAGGAAAGGGGGGGGGGGCTGTGTGACTCCCTGGATGCTTTACAAATAATGGTGGGTAGGTGTTTTACCTACAGGGTGGGGGAATTCACTGCCGCACATTAGTAAACTTAGTGAAGTGGGGTCACTCACCCATATATTATTGGGGGGGGGGAGTGCACCAACTGACCCATGAGGGCTGACAGTCCCAGTTTATTGCTATACCTGTTTATGAAGAAACATTTAAAATTTAAGATGATTTTTTTTATTTACACAAGGAAGTTCTGGCAAGACAGTATTTTTATTTTTGTGAACGGAACTTTACCGTTGGTATTAATCCCTGAGATAGTTGCTTGTGCAACCAAGTTTGAAATTAAATAAATAAATATTCTTGGTAATTGTGAAATTTTAATTCATTTTAAAACAATTTGAGATGACCCATTTAATCTAATGTGTATTTGGTGTTACCCAGAGTTTGTTGAATTAGCTGAAAACACGATGTGTAACATACGGGTGGTCTTAGGATTAAATAGGGTTATCTATAAGCTGGTATAATGTTTCGGTAAGGGATGTAACCTGGTGGGTCGCTCTAGTTTAAACATGGAACGGAACCTATGGTTTGCGTAGACGTTGAACAGGGGACGCAACTTAAGTAAATCTGAATTTAAAACTGGTGAAATTTAGCGTTTCGTTCTAAAAGGGGAACTAATCCATGAAGTTGTCTAAAAATTTTTTTTTTTTTAAGTTTTGAATTTGTAGATACAATTCTTTTTAAAGTATGTGTCATAATTAGTGTAGCTGTGATCCTCATCTACTCATTAATTCAGCTCATTACTTAGAAATGTAAATTTCCACAAATTGTTCTCCAACAGGGCAGAGACTCCGTGTAGGACAAGGTGAAGTATTTATTGGGCCACCTATACATAGAATTCTGTGTATATTTTGCTGTCAGACTTTGTTTTGATTCTGTATTGCTCTGTGGATCTTTGAGATTATAGATGATTGAAGATAGTTGTCTTGAATTGTATTTATTCGGTTGGATCACTGCATGTTGTTGAAAGTTCTTAAAGACAAGAACACACACACAATAGATGAACTCTTAATAAGCAGCATACTGTACATTTAATTTCTCTCTTCATTATAGTAACAGTTCAATAATTAATACACATATATTTTAATTATCTACTTAAAATAATACCCAGTCATTCACTGTGAATGTTTGATAGAAATGATTTTTAATCATTCATTTAAAATATTACTCATTAAGTGAATACATGCATACATTCATAGGAAATATTGCTCAGTCGTTCAATAAAACATTGGTCATTCATTCATTGTAAATAGTGCTTAAGTTAAGTATTTCAATTCAACAAGATTACATAGTATGGCACTAGACATTATTTACAGTAGTTTTACAGAACATCACAGAGGTCAATGGGATATTCAAGCACTTGAGCCATTCTTATCACACACATTCAATTCCTGTCAAACATCTTGCTTTCTTCATTAAGTAGCATATAAATAATGGTCAGCCAAAGCACAGAGAGAGAGTTTTGATTTTTTAAAACATCAACATTGGCGTGTAAGGAGAACTATGTACATTGTGAACACTTTTAAAAGTTTTTAGACTCGAATTTCAACTGGCTTCCTGTCTGGACTCCCACGTGTTAAAACTCTGGCCATTGGCAAATTGTCTTCTGAGTTTTGAATGGTGCACCTTTCCGCGCCTTCTGGCCAATAGCAAGTCTTCTTGCAGCTGTTTGCGTGATCACGTGGATCCTCGGCGGGGAAGCTCTCTTCGAAAGAGCTCTTCCTGCCCGTGAGCGGCCTGTGGTTGGGTGTGGGTAGAGACCGCAGGAAGAAGCTTTGGTCGTTGGAAATGGGATAGCTGTTGAGTTCTCGACTGTCCAGCTTCTCCATGGCGAACGTTGGGCTGTCACGTGATAAGGTCAGCTGCTGGGTGTCGCGTGGCTGACCGTACTTCTGGGAGAGTTCGTACTGCGCCATTTTCAAATACTCATCCTGCTCGGGGCTGAACTGGAAGTGGGTTGCTCTGTTGGGCTCCTTCGGCGACTTGAACTGAGCCTCGCGTTGGTCCGAACCTCCTTTGGCTGAGGAGCTCAGAGAGTGAAACAAATTTGCACCGTGCTCGCCGTGGGAGGGTCCTTCGTTGAAGATGTTCAAAGGCGAGCCTACGAGCATTAAATTTGCATTGTCTTTGGGCTCGGATACCCGAGGTTTGTATCTAACGTCGAGTTTGTTTGAAAATACAGAGCTGCTTAAGTATTGGCTGGTGTCGTTTGAAGTCGTCTTTACCGAAAGTTGTTGCGAAATGTTCCCAGAACTGGAACCAAAGGACGAAATTGTTCCCGAGCTGGGGCTAAAAGACGAAATGTTCCCAGAACTAGACGTAAAAGACGACTTCTCTAAGCCAAGCAGACCATTTTCCTCTGTAGACGATCTAAACGGCCGCCATTGGGTTGTGGGGTTCTGAGGGAGAAGAAGCTCGGCCAGTAGCGGAGAGTGGGTCAGTTTTTTGGCTTTAGAGTGACCATCATGCTTGACTCGCGAGCTGAAGTCGATGAAGCGCTTGCTCAGCATTTCAGCAGCATCGCTGGTGCGCTGGTCAGCTGTTCGCTGTCCGCCAAACGTCTCGTTGTAACTGGGCAGAGCCATGTGGTTGTTGCTCAAACTACGAGTGTAACTTTCGTTTGTTTCCATGCTAGGGTCTAGGTACGAGTCTTGCAGTAGCGCGCGATTGGCCATTAATTGGTCCATGTTTCTCAAGGCGCTGGGACTGGTGCCCCCCGTGTTGGTCGCTGGCGACAGGCAACCGTCGGTGGACGGAGAAAGCTGAGCCTCGCGGTTTCTTAAAGTCTCCGTTGCTTGTCTGGCCAAGGAGCTGATGGTCAGCATGGAGCTCTCGCTCTCGTTGGAGGACTGAGACAGGCTCTTAACCCGGGCGTGATCGCCTATCATGTTGGATGGGTGGAGTTTGGGTGTTAGGTCTTCGTACCTGTCCATAGGCAGAGCCAACGTGTGGTCGTAATCGTCGGGTAGATAGGACGTTGCCCAGAAGGAATGAACCTTGTTCAGGTCAAAAGATGAAGCGGACGGGATAATATGGTCAGTTTGGTAAAGGTTAGGTTGGTGCTGGAGATGGTATTTAGGGTAAAGGTCATTGCCCTGCTGCCAGGCTTCTTGCCTCTGGTAACCCTGGAGCTGGTCGTGGTCGAGGTTCAGGTAAACGTCGCACAAGCTGGAGCTGTCGCTGCAGGTTGGGTTGCCGGTGCCGGCGTCCAGGAAGGACAGCTCCGCGGGGTGGGACATGGTCAAGTGCGGGCTGAAGTTGGCGAGGGCGCGGTGGTCGTCGACCGAGCTGCTGAGGCTGTCGCTCGCCTCGTGTCTGTGGCCCGTGGGCTCTGCGGACCCTGCGGGGTTCTGGTCCAAGGTGAAGGTCGGAGTCCGGCTGTAGTCCTGGACCATGGGAGCTTGAGGGCTCTGGAGAAGGTGGTCGGGGGACTGCGTGAGCATCTGGGACTTGTAGGGATTCGAACCCAGGGTATAGTCGCTGTCGCCTGGGTAGGGCATGGACTGGGGTGAGGTGTGGCCGGGCAGGTTGTCGCTGAAGCTGGCTCCGTCAACATCGGACCCATCTTTCTGGAAATCGCTGATGCCATCTCTAAGTGATGCCATGCATACTGAAATAGAACAAAATAAATACAAATAAAATACTGCTCATATAACTTTATACAGTTATAAATCTTAAAACAAAAAACGAAATCAACAATAGCCTAAACTAAAGGTTCTACTATGTATGTGTTTACCTTCTTTGAAGTTGCCACTAAAAGCTGTCTTGGTCCACTCTGCGACCGACACAAGGAAGTCGCCCATAGATCTGCCCCTGACGCTTGCCTTGTAGGACTCAAACAGTGGACTCATGGTCAAGTGAAACTGATCACACGTTAAGGAAACAACCAATACACTACAACTCTTAACCCAAGACCCGTTTATCTCCTCTTTGGGATCAAATAAACAATACCGAGACACAAGAGAACTACTAAAATTACTAAAAAGTTAAAAGGGAAGTGACGTTGATGAAATGGTTGAAAGGATACGGCCCAAAATGCGTCGTTGCTGTTGGTGCGCTGTTTGACGTAGTCCTCGTACATTTCGTTCATGCCAGTCGTCAGCTCTTTGTACAGGCTCATGTCAGGCACTCTGGTCTCCAGGCTTCTGTGGACAGGTGCAAGATTAGCCAGGTGAGTACAAGCACAAACATGATCCAGGAACACATACACATCCACATACACACAAACCAGGATTTGCTAGGTGAGTACAAGCACAATCATGATCCATGTGCGTACACACACATACACACACAAACACATACACACAAACAAGGATTAGCTAGGTAGGTACAAGCACAATCATGATCCAGGAACACATACACACAAACACAAACACACACAAACACATACACAAGATTAGGTGAGTACAAGCGCAATCATGATCCATGAGCGCACACACATACACACACAAACTCATACATATACACACAAGCAAGGATTAGTTAGGTAGGTACAAGCACAATCATGATCCATGCGCGCACACACAAACAGACACATACACATACACTGGCATTTTAAAAATATGTGCACAAACACGCACATATACATGCAGGATTTACTAGGTGAATACACAGGTATTCTATATAGGAGTGCGCCCGCCCGCCCGCCCGCACACACACACACACATACACATCAAGATTTACTAGGTGAATACACATGGCATTCTAGATCGGTGCACACACACTAACTTATGTAATTTTTGTTGAAAAGTTTTTTACGTAAGCCCTACTGATAACGACAGCTAGCAACGGGCCGAGATTACAGGCTAAATGACTTTAAGCAAGCTGGCTGACTCGGCCAATATCATGAATAGATTACAAGATTAACTCTAAATCTGCGTGCTACACTAGATCTAGTATCTCAAACTAAAAGCACAGTTTAATTTAGCGTGCTACGCTCAAAACCTGTATAGATTTAACGAAATATGACGTTATATGCTAATACCTTGAATAAATTACTAGAATTAAAGCTGTTTGGTATGCTTTTACCTTTATTGGATTTGAGACACAACCAATTTTAGCTGTAACTTAAATAGATTCCTACCCTAACGCCGTTTAACGTGCCATGCAGAGAACCCGTTAAGATTTATCTAAATCAGCGTTATACCTGAAGATGAATTATGAACAGGTAACTCTAAATCTGCGTGCAACAGCCATGAAAAATAAAATCAGAGTACAGGATCTTGCCTCTTGTATGACGTCACACACGGCATTCAATTTCTTACAACACCTAGTAGGCCTATTAGGCCTAGCAGACGACGGGGAAGCTTGTGTCAGTATAGCTGTGCTAGATTTAAAACCAACCGTAACAAAACTCACTTGATCTCAGCATCCAGTCCTTCTTTCTCTAGACGGACGGCGTCCAGGGCGCCGGTTATCTCCTGAATGTCTCGCTGAAGCAGCTTGCAGTGGTCAACGGCTGTTTGGACAAGAGAACATGGATTTCAACGGCATTCTTAAAAACTACTCGGAACTAGCTTCTGTAATGTGTTTGTTCCAAGCCCTTTCTTTGGATTGTACGAGTGTGGTTATTTTCCTGCAAGCGTTTTCATCTGTATGGTTACTTGTGCAAGTTATGTAAGAAAATATTAGGAGCATGACGGTCTAGTCTGCAGTTTACTTTGACTGCCACCACCAGCCATATTTTAAAGTAAATCTTTGCGCTAGTGTCAAACAATGCGACATGGAGGTTTAAAAATAGCGTAGTGTCAAGGTTAGTATCACACCGTAGATCGGCGGACTAGGGAAGGCTTGTGGGGATGTTTCAAGGTTCAGATAGTTCGTGTGCACGGAGAAGGTGGTTCGGGGTGTATGCAGCTGTGTGTGTGTGTATGTGTGTGCAGAGGTATTGTAAACACACGTCATTGTTTGTTGTACATCGTAAAGCGGGGGAGGGATATTGTAAATATATGTCATCATTCTTACCTTTAAATAAAATATCAGCTTTGCTGTCCCTTCCAGAAGTCTGTTCGTATCGAGGTACCATATTTTTCAGCGTTCGGAATCCATTCTGTTATGGCATGAAAAAAATAATTTACAATGCTCCTTCACGATTCGGAATTTCTAACTATTACTTGACGTGTTTAACAGACACAGTGCTCTCATAGACGTTAATTTCCTAGCTCTTGGGTGCGGGTAGAAATGGGTGACGGTGGCAACACTCACCTGGATTTTTCCCCTCCTTCTGTGCTCGGCGTTGATGTGCGACTCTCTCTTGTGACGAGGAATCGGATTTCTTGGACGTCCGCATTTCCTTTTCACTTTGACCTGACCCGAGGCGTCCTCGGTCTTGTTAGCCAAGGGACAGAAAATTGATGGCGGTATCGGACCCTGAAAACAAACAAAATAAATCCAAAATGTAAATGGCTATCAAACGAAAAGTTGTTATAAAAAAATAAAAGTGAATAAAAAAAATTCAATGTTCATTTTGTTTTTAAATTCAGTATTATAAATGCAATTGTGCTAATAGTGATATTTATAAAGAAATACTTGTTGCTTTTATAAATAGTAAACCATACAGTGTTTTATATCCCAATCTGGGTACAACAACACAAAAGAAGGGTGAAAAATAATCACCAGGGCCGACAACTGAGCCAGAAACATCTGACTAATTTATCATCTACCCAGTTATCGTTCTTGAATATAAACCCGTCAAAACTTGAGCAGGGCTATAAAGTAAAGTGACTTTATAAGCGACACGGGACCGTCTACCCCGACAAGGCTTTAGCTGAGGATCATTCAGCTCATCGCCAGCTCCCTGACAACTGAATGCAAACCTCCCCGCCGGTAGGGTCAGGTAAACTCCACACCTATCAGCGAACCCGACCGCGGACGTGGAGCAGTTCACTTTTATTTCCGGACCGGTGGATTTATTGTCCGGGCTGGCCACAGACGCGTTCCTGGATCGGACATGCTTGACATCACCGGAAAATGACCGGAACGGGGTGGTTGGTGATCACACTATCGCTGGCTGCTGGGGTGATCAACGCTGGTTCCTCCCCCCCCAACACACACCATGGGAAATGGACAGTTGAACTTTAACCCTTTTGACCCACACATCAAGTTAATAAGGTGACTTGAGGGTAAACTCAGGACACTATGCGAATATGTACCAATGTGTCATACACACATAATATTATAAATAAACAAAATAAATAAATAAATAAAATAAATAAATAAATAAATAAATAAATAAATAAATAAATATATATATATATATATATATATATATATATATATATATATATATATATATAGTATTTATATATGTATAAATACATATATAAATAAATGCATATACATACAAAAACACACACACACACACACACACACACACACACATATATATATATATATATATATATATATATATATATATATATATATATATATATATATATATATATATATTTATATAGGCCTATATATAATTAATATAAATACAATAAATATAGCTTTGTCATTTAAAGAGTTCAACTTTATTACCCAAACAGCTTAAATTTTTGGGTATTTTTGTCACCGAATGTAGATCTAGATTGTGAAAAAAATTTACGAAGTGCGAAAAACGTAAACTCGATAGAAGAAATAGAAAAGCGCAGTGAAGTAATCAGAGTAGTGAGTTTTCGACGCGCGTCTTTCTAAATTTAAAAGGTGAATCGTTGTATTAATTAACAACATTAGTCAGACAGATGTATTTTGCATTACAGTCAATCGGCCAAAACAGAGTATCGAAAACAGACTTTATCAAATGTTTTGTTTAAAAAGATAAATATTAATTTTACGCGACCGTATTTTTACTTAGTATTAAAACTACGAGGTTAAATATAAATTTGTTGTCCTATTGCAATTAAAAAACAATACATTTTAAAATAGGCTAGCTTAATTTTAAAATATATTCATTTTATTGCAGCATCGATTTTCCAAAGAATAGTTTTTAAATATGTAAGTATATTATTTTAAAAATAAAATATATATAAAACACTTAAAAAACAACATAACTTTAAAAACCGTTTCAAAAAAATTCTTAATCTTTAAGTAAATTTTAATTTATTTGATAAACACAAAACTATGTTTAAATATCACTAATTAGAAACAGTATCAACAAATTGTTTGCCGAAAAATTATTTTAAAATGTAATACTATTATTTATAAACACAGGACTTTCAAAAACACAAATAACAAACAAAAACAACAACCGCACGCATTTCTGAAACGCAATTACATCCTAAACAGTCCTGACATGCGCAGTATGAGATAAAAAATAAATAAATAATAAAACAATAAAGTTTAACAAAGGAGAAAAGAAACAAATAAAAATTTACCATTAACGCTGGCATCAAACACCAATACAGAAAACCACAAACATGTAGCGCGTATTGAATCTCCCCGAATGTTTTCTGGTCGTAACCTCAAAGACGTCTGAAGATGGAGAGTGCCATCCCCCGAGTTCGTGCAAGAAACGGACGCAGACGATCTCCCTGGTTCCCACAGAGGACACCATCAACACCCCCACCCCCGGAGGTTCCGAATATACAAGGGTACGTACATCAAGCAACAAGGCTATATATAGAATTAGGGTTCTGGAATCCATAAAGAAAATGTCTTAAACCAACCTTGCGAGAAATGGTATATATTCCGTTCAGCCTGGCTGGATACGGGGGTGTAAGTTTCAAGAAAAAGATGGGTAGGGGTGGGGGAGAGGCTTACATATATATATATTTATATATCTGATCTATCTATTCAGAAACAAGGCATTCATGTAGATATAACTTGGCAGTTACAATAAAGGATGCGTGCTTTTCTTTTGATATGCATATAAGCTTTTAGAGTGTAGGCTAGGTATAAGGATGTAGATCGCTAGATGTATAACAACAGTGTGCACTTGGCTAGCTATACAATTAGTAGCGTGTGCATTGTAGGCTTACATCTGTTAGAGGAAATATAGAAGCGTTTTACTTTCAGTTTGTTGTGTGAACATTAGATTTGTATAAGTTAGTTTTGAACACGCGAATGGTTGATAAACAGATACATGTCATCGAAACGTGCGTGAAATCTAATCCCATGAATTATAGGGATTAAACTAATGTCATTAGCCACAAATAATTGTCATCTGGTCAGATAAATGACATCCAGAAATACGTCATAGTTCAGGGATATGGGGTGTGGACAATACATCACAACTGGACGTGTGATGTCGGTAAATGACGTCATGTGGTCAGGGTTGGTCATATCTAACCCGTAACCACAACTACCACCATTATTACTCACACAACTGGCAGAACAAAAATAGCACAAAATCGAAACAACTTTAAAACAATTTTACGTATATAAAATTGTCTAAAAGTCTGTATCGTTTTAAAAATAAAAAATTAAAAAAATAAACTTTTATTTAAACGACAGATTTGTTTTCTAACAGTTTAACGAAATAATGCAGCAATATAAATCTAGGTCTTAAAAGTAGTGTTTCCAACTTATACGAAATTTGTGTCCCTCTTAAATTAAAATTATGTTTGTTCATTTTCCCGAAAAATTAAAGAACTTTCACCTAAAGCTATGGTGTACTTTTACAAGTCAATTTCTTCTCAACTTAAAAAAGATGACTATAAAATTATCGTTCCTACGTTGATCGACTTATTCCCCTTGGTTTATCTTAAATAGATATTTGGGTTAAATCATATAAAAACCACCCAGGGATAGTCCTATGTTACAGTCTCCTATTATATCAACTAGTCTACGTTTCAAAGAGCGCATTTGTATGAACCAATCAGCTCCCGTTTTCTCGGTTGACACCCACGCATCACGCAGTAAAGGTAGGTATATTTGTCAGGTTTATTTCACCTGATACAAAGCCTGACCTGTAAACCCAGAACCTGAACGGTCACGAGAAGCTATAGGTCATCCTGTGTCTGGAAATGGATTTTGTTTTCGTGAAAAAAAAACGGCGACATTACTTGGCTGGGTTACCAGAATAATAGAGGATGCGTGCGTCCTGATGATTATATATATATATATATATATATATATATATATATATATATATATATATATATATATATATATATATATATATATATATGTGTATATATATATATATATATATATATATATATATATATATATATATATATATATATATATATATATATGATTTTCATTCTTTGTGAGATTATAGTCAACAATGATGTATTTATGTTGTGTGTGTAAGAGCGTTGGGAGACGGAAGTTAGAGCGTCCTAATCTAAATTAAATTGAATATATATATATATATATATATATATATATATATATATATATATATATATATATATATATATATATATATATATATATATATATATATATATATATATATATATATATATATATATATATATATATATATATATAAAAAAGAGGAGTGATGATATATATATATATATATATATATATATATATATATATATATACATATATATAAGGAGTGATGTTGAAGTCAATTCACTATAATTAATCTGAACAAGCAAATATTCAAACTAAATGGTTCATGAGAGTGTAGTAATGAGAACTTTTTTCTACAAGTTAGAGCAGCAGATTGATTAGAGGCTTTCTCTCGTTGCTTGATGATGCTTATATATGGTGCTTATAGAATTGTGCTTATAGACCTGGCTCATCACATGATCACATACTATACAGATACGTCGAGAAGTGATGTGATTTTGGCTTCACCCACCATTCTAACTCAAATTTAGAGCTGTACACACATAACAACACATGTACACACCCACCACCCCTCATTCTAACTCAAGCTTAGACTTGTACACACATGTACACACCCACCACCCACCATTCTAACTCAAGCTTAGACCTGTACACACATAAGGACACATGTACACACCCATCATCCACCACACCACCTAAATTTTCTCTCCGTACAAAAATAATCGCGCATGTACACGTATTCAATTATTGACGCACGTTTGAAATGATGTCAAACTAGTTCTAATATCTATTTATTCATGCAGATTTGCATGTGACAATGATGGTGCTCTAAATTATTGTTTAATATGCTTACTAATGTCTGTATGAATAAAAGATTTTTTTTTTTACCAAAACCAGTTTTCATTATTTTACCTCTGAAACATCTTTAAACTCATAAAATGAACATACCATATAGACAAGACCCCACAAGACGATGAGAAATTAATTCTCTCTTGAGAGTTACACGCATTATCAAGCGTGAATATTCTAAATGCAAGTTTTTATTAATGCATTATGTGAAAAAAAAAAACAAGTCGGTAAGCCCAACTTTTAGTTTGCATGTCTCCTACAAACTAATCCATCAGCGAAAACAT